GTATTTTTTGTTGGAGAAAATAAATTTGTCTTCTGTGAACTTTAAACCTGTATTTTTGTGCTTTGACTGCTTGGTCCACGACAACCACAAAGAGGTGTGATATGATCACGATTAGACGTAAAACAGCCACAGAGACACAAAATGACTGCGAACAAATGAAAAATGAGCACCAACAAATAAACATAATGACCATTAAGAGACACAAAATGACCATAAACGGATGCAAACTGGCAATAGAGAAAAACAGAAACAAGTCACTTCAAACATAATGTGATGTACATCCTGTTGGACATGCTAGCAACATGCTAATGACATTTATGTCATTTTTGTTATAGTGTCTCCAGAAAATGATTCCTACTGATTTCTGGTGATCTTCACATAAAAGATCTGTTTAGCAGCTGTTGTGAAGCTTTCGGTCAAATAAATGACCATATTCAAAACGCAAAATGCCATTTTTTGTCCACGTTGGTCTTAAATGTTGAAGTTAAACACTGGAAACAGAACTACACACTACAAAAAACAGTCTCACAAGGATAATTTAGTATCTTGATCACATTTTCAAAGTCAAGAATTAACTTTGTACGTTAAATATAACAACTGTAAAAAGCATTTGCATTTAAAGAAGACAAATGAAACCTTACGACATAGAAAGAAAGAAGTTTTATTGTACAAAACCCGACTGATTGTAGAAAATACAAAAGTCACTGAAGTCGACAGGTTCAGAAAAGCAGAATTCTATCCATCATCATATTTTCAGGCTGTCGGCAAGAAAAAAACGACTTCTGATTTTTTTGTACAAGCAGTTCATTTCTGACCTTCTCCTTCAACGGGTGTAAAGGAGAGAAGATATTAAATGTTACAAAAATTGATTTCTAACAGCAGCGCTGTTGTACAAATGAACAGAGACTCTGTAAAATGTTAAACTCAATAAGAAAATCAAGTGTAGATACTACACACACACACACACACACACACACTTAGGTACAGAAATGCTGCTTCAGTCGTTAGCATTCGACCTGTTATCACAGCATTATATGACATTACATGGTTCAAAACCACAGAAGGAAAATATTAAAAGGGGACTAATAAAATTAGACAGAAATGAAGTGGAGACTCTGCACATATTGTAGTGGAACACGTCATGTGAGGAAAAGAAACTATACACAAGTTTGGGGTTCAAATAAATCAGACAGCAGAGAGGTTTCCTTTGACCTAGTTGGACTTTAAATATATATATATGTGCACCGACACTGACAGGTTGAGAGGTCTGACTATGAAAAGGCTCCGTTGTTGTCACTGATTTTACCGCAGTGAACGCAAACACGGATAAAAATGAAACATCTAAAGGTCACCTGAGCCAAAAAGCTTCTGATAAATTGACTGAAGATATTTTTACTGTAAAATTTAATATCAGACTTTAAAGAAAACATAAGATGTTTTTTGTTTCGGAAAAATCCGGGATGTTGTTATATTCAAGAACATATTACAAACGTCTTTGTTAATGGACAGAGTGTGTTGCATTATGAGTTGTTTCTGTAAGTCTGGTAAAGATGGAAATAAATTCCTACAGCATGAAACGAGATCAGTCCTGGTAAACACTGAATTACCTGTCGAGCCCTTGCTGTCACATAAAGCTCCAAAAGCTTTGAAAGAAATGCTTCTGAAGCTCAAACATCAGCCTCTGACCCGTGTGGTGAAAACATCTGCAGACATGTCATCAAACTGTTGCACTCCAGCTGGCACTTACAAAAACATCTGATATGAACACTATCAGATTCAATTCAGCTCACTTTTCAGATCCATACACTGTTTACAGGCAGCGACATGCTCACAAGCTCATTCAGGTTGTCTATCCAGAGTTAATACAAAGCAAACTAGCTTTTGGCATCATTTCTGAATTACCCCCAAGCATCTTTTTCAGCATCATGTTCTGCTACGAAGGTCAGTGCAGCAGATGATGCATGAGATGAGTTTCATCCAGTTAAGTTCTACTTCTACTGATGAAATGGTTCCGTGAAGTCAAAATTAGCTGATAAACTGCGACATAGAGAAGGATGACAAAGGCTTATGAAACCTCCATGGATTAAAAAATTCGTAGTAGAAAAAGTAAAATCTAAGCGCAGTTTTAAAAAATGTCTCTTTTATAAAGGAGGTCAACGAAAAGGTCTTCTGACAATATTGTTAAGGCTGCAGGGGAGAGCTGACTGGTTGATGCAAGCAGCTTGAGGTACGGTAGAAAATCAGTCCGTACAACAACAAATGAAACACAGAACGTTGCCTGTGACTGCTGTTTGCTCTATTCTAAGCTTTGATTAGACGTGGTTCAGATATCCCATTTTGGATAATATCACTGGTATAAAAGTCAAAACGTTGTGGAAGTGGAACTACGATCAGCTTTGTGTAAAACAAGACGGCATGAATCAAGCTGCACAGTGTCTATGACCCTCAGGTCAAAGTTGTGGGGAAGAAAAAAAGACCCTTAGCTTCCTGAAAAATCCAAACCCTTCTCCAGCTGTTCGTGGCAGCTTCTTGACCTGAGGAGCAGTTTCATGATGAACTGTTTTCATTACTTTCAGGTTGTAGTTCATGTCTGTTCTCAGTGACTCTGCCTCTCTGACACGACGTCCTGCAGACGCTTCAGCAGCACATCTGGACTGCTGCCGTTCTCTGGACACGCCCTCTTACTGGGGGAGTCGCACGCTGATGACATCATCACATCCCCCTCCATGGTGAAGGCTCTCTTCCTGCTCACGCAGCCCTGACGGATCATCCGGTTGATGTCTGACAGCTCCTGTATGGAGGCAGATGAGGAGACAGTGTTCAATCCTCTCTGTTTTTTTTTTTTTAAAGTTCATGACATTAAAAGAACAATTAGCATTAATATTTGTTTGCTGCAGAGGTTGTTTTTACTTCAGATCACAGCTTCCCACGTCTGCAGTGACCTCCTCAAACATCTCAATAACAAAGGTACTCAGTTTACCATCAACTATGAAAGAAAGGCAGCAAATCCTCCATCTTTAACCCTCTGAACACAAAACAGTCCCCGTCACGTTTTTGCTCACTATAGGCTCATTTTTCACTCCAATTTTAAGTCCTGCACCTCTATGGAAGCAGCACAACCACGGCTAGAGATAGAAAGAACTTGAGAAAGTCTTCTGTGCTGCATGAAACAGCTGTAACGCCTTAACATCATGTATATTTAAAAGAAAAAGAAAGTTGAATTTCTTTGCTTGTTTTACAAAAATTTAAAAAGCTTTAATCAACATGTACAACATTTTTCCACCTGGTCACATCTCTTACCAATACTGGCAAAAAAAAAGTGACTTGCAGCTTTAATTGGTATCCATATTGTCTGTTCTGTATAAACACTACCTGCAGTTCAGCCGGAAAGTCACGCAATTTTCGTCACATGAATGTTCGTTGCAGCTGAACCTGTCATGGCCTCTTAGTCTTGGCGACAAGCGAAATATTTTTAGTTCTTTAGAGAACCTGCTTAGAACAAATGCTTCATTTACGGCAAAGTTTTGAAGGAGACATGTAGAATAAAACTATTTTAATAAAATGCCACCAGTCTTAGATTTGGGTAACTGATCATTTGCTTTACAAAAACTGAAAAAAAAAAAAAAAAAAGGAATTAAATCAACATGTACAACATTTCTGCAAATGCTCACAGATGTTACCAAAAAACATGACGTACTGTAGATATTGTACTTAGATTTTTTTTTTCCCCCTTTACTTGTCAGAGTTTTGTCGCGTGACTCTTTGTTGCAAATGAATCACTCATGGCTTCATGGTTGTGCCCCTGAGTGCAGAAAATTGTGTTTTTTTTTTTTACAGAATCTGTTTCATGGAAACAGTTAATATTTTGTTATTTTTGAAATGAGAGAGAATAAAGTAATTCTGACATAACATCCAGATTTTGGATGCTTTTCTTCAATTGAGCAGCACATCACAGTTCAGGCTCTATTGAAAAGTAGAAAATTTGACGATTGTTTCTGTTTTCATAGTTTGTGGCTCTGATCAGTGGTCTGATCAGTGGTCTGATCAGTGGTCTGATCAGTGGTATCATTTTGGTGAGTTTTGAGAAGATTGCGTGCCTCTTGAAACCACTGGTGGGTTCTGAGGTTCCGACAGTTAATTTGACTGAAACGTTTCCGACCTGTGAGAGACTGATTTAAGGCCTTGTTAACTACTTGTAACACAATTATCAAATTAATACATTTTTGCTTGAATTAATTTGCCTTTTTGACCTCTTCAGCTCTAGGCTATGTTTAATTCTTTTTTTAAATTTCCACCCAAAAATAAACAACTCTGAATTAATTCAGGAGCAGCTCCACTGTGAGCTGTGAGGCTATAATAAAAATGGGCTCAGTGGATCAGAGACACTTGGGAAAACTTTCAAATACAAGTCTTGTGTCTCCACCAACAGATGAGTGTGAAATCTGTAAAACCTTTTATTCTGCTTAATCAAAACAGTAAACAAGAGTAGATAACAGCCCAATAGAAATGGTGCGGTGACACTGATGTAGAATAACAAGTGTTTCATTCATTTCAGCAGTACTGTGGCGACCCTCTAAAAATGGCTGCAGGTTGTTTTTTACTGACAGATACAGTCTGGTCCCAGTACAGGGAGCTGTGGACATCCTGGTATCCCCGTGTGTGTGTGTGTGTGTGAGTGTCAGTGTGAATGTGTGTGTTCTTGCCTTGGACGGGCTGCTGTTGATCCTGTAGGTGTAGGAGTTGGGTGTGAGGCAGCCTGCTGAGTTCTTGTGTGGGGAGACGTAGAGCGAGTGCCTCTGGGAGACTCTGCGAGGAGACAGAGGCTGAGCCCGGACCGACGGGAACGGAGAGAGAGGAGGAGCGTCGGCCTGGAGGATCAAACACACGAGTTAAACGTAAAGCACAAACCTCCGCGTGCTCAGCGTGCAGCGGTGAGAGTGTCGTACCCGGTTATCGTGGGTGGCGTATCGCAGTGCGAAGCTCTTCATCTTCAAAACGAACACAGTGTTGTAGAACTGGATGAGGTCACCACGCTCCTCCTCCACTGATTGGTCAGAGTTCGCATCTCCTGGGAGCTGATTGGTTTTCTCTGCAGCTGCAGAAACACACGAATCAACTGTTAAAAAGGTCAAACGTCTATAAACTGGAGCTTTTCAAATGTCAAACTCGTATTGTCGTTCTAAATCCTAAATAAATAATAATAAATATTGGATTTTAAAGACATTTATATTCCAGAAAATTAATCAATAACAGTAAATGTACAAATGACTAATACCAGAGTTTAATCACTAATGAAGATAATCCTCAGCTGTAGCCTCGGTGTGCTGCGTTCTTCTGTCTGCACATGGATTTAATCTAGATTTCTACATTATACATGAAGTCAGCGGTTCTCAACCTGTGGGTCACGACCCCTTAAAATGTGCAAATAACTGGAAAAAGAAAGAAAAAAACAACTTGTTTTTCTGACTTTCTTTTTGTTTGGGTTATCCAGAAAAACCAGATCATGACTGATTGCAAGTTAATTTTTCCAGATAAAATGAACAGTTTAAAGTTTTGAGGACAATGCCTCTCTTAAAATGTTTCCAAAGCGTTCACAGCTGGTCTAAAATAAGGCTGTTTGTAGAGTGGTGTGGGAGTTTGTTACACATTATGGTGTAGAGCTCCTCTAAATGTGACCACAGGCCTCCACCTTAATTCAAAATATTTATATTTAAGTTATTATTATTATTTAAGAATTTGTGTGTGATCTTACATTCTCCACCTGAAACAGAATCCACCTCCATGTTTTCATCGGCCACCTGCTCTCTGGGAGTGTGACGCAGTAAGACACTGCGGTACACCTGCACACACACACACAGTTCGGTTGTTTTTCAATGTCATTAAAACACAAAGTGTCCACAATCGTAAAACAATCACATGTTAAAAACATACTGCACATTGTATATGAAGTTTATGAAAAGTTAGGAAGAAGAAAAAGAAGAAGAAGAAGAAGAAGAAGAAGAAGAAGGACACATCTTATGTATAACCAAGACATTCATGTCCATGTAAACACACATGCAGGTGTGTATTATTGTGTTTCTCACATGGCTGCTGGCCTGTGGTTGGCTCCGGTAGCACTTCATGATGTCCTGGAAGGTGTGAGTCTCTTTGGTGATCTACAACAAAAGGCAGGAATCACAGGAGCCACTTTCAGTCTGAGTACAGGAAGTGAGTTTATAGCCGATTCTGATTTCTTTAACAAGACATCTGAATCTCCCTGGTAGGTTTCTAACTGGCTTTTTCTTCTGCCAACACAGATGCACAAACCCACAAAAAGTCCGAAATCAGCATCCACTGTCACTGATATCATTAAAAAACAAACAAAAAAAAAAGTGAGGTGAGAACTAACGTGCTTCGTTACACAGTCAGGCTGTCGTGGCTGCACCGAGGTGGGCGTGTTCTTATTATATATTTAACAGAATCTGGTGGAAATGGCATCGGTGATTTTATGAAGATTTCCTGATTTTAAGCTTAGATTTGGTAAAGTTTCTGAAGGAACGTCATCCATGATTAGCTCCAGGACCATCAGAAAAAAGGGGAAAAAATTAAAAATTCCTTCAGTTTTTAAAGTTTCTGGCTCTGTTATTAGGTGCCATTTTTGAGATTTGTTAAAAAGTCAGCGTGCCTTTTAAACCTGCCTGTAGGAAGGTTGACTAAATGTGAAGCTTTTCTCACTTTGGATATGATGTAAATGCTGCACAGCAGCAGCTGGTCAAGGTGTCGGTCCTTCATCAGATCGGTGGAGTGGACCAGAGAGTGCTCGAAACACGTCCAGATTTTTCCTCTCAGTTCCGACGAGATGTCCAACTTCACACACAAATCCCGGAGACGTACGCTGGCCAGGTGATACACCTGCAAAACACAGAAGCAAAGGACAGGCTGGTCAGAAATGGCCAACAGCAGGAAGATACCACCGAATGCAGAAGAGGCCAAGAGGAGTTCATGTATGTCAGACACAGCAGAAGACAAACACCGTCTGGAAATCCACCATAACTGATCTGTGTAATATGACGCACAACGACCAAAGATGACATCTTTCTGAATGTGTTCTTCACTTCCTACCTTCCTGAAGAACAGAGCAAGTGATCCGGTGCGTCGTGGCCGCACGTTTCCTGTCTGGGTGTCGGAGGTTGTGGCGTTGGCGGCGGGGGCAGGGGTGGGGATGGGCGCGGTCCGGCTTGGGGAAGCGGTCAGCAGGAACTGAGTGGTGACGGCAGCAGAGGAGTCACATGGCTGGACCGGGATCAGTGTTATAGTGCGGTCACTATTCACACCTGCAGGTATTCACACAGACACACAACCAGTTGGAAGAAGAATTGCCAGTGTTTTATGTAGACTGATTTCAGCACAGGGATCCGTCAGCCTGTCAGGGGAGGGGGCTTCACTGCATGTGCCGTGAAAAAAAACGGTCAAACTCTAAGGAAATGTTAAGGAAAGGTGTTTTGGTGCTTCCTTTAGCATAGGATGGACCATTCTTTGGAAAAGGAAAGGAGATGATGCAGTCTCACAATTATATATTGCATATTGTCCATGTAAACAAAAGCTTGTCCTCATAAATTCTGATTCACATCTTTCTGTCGAGGTTATAAAAAAGTGTTTAGGGAAAAAACACAGGATGTAGATATTTACTTCTTCTACTTGCAACACAGATTTACTTGACCAGATAATTCTAATTCACAGTCATCACACTGGAGTACGTCTCTTTTTTATATCTTATCACGACATGATTACAATATTAATGAGCAGGAAGTAAATATATGAGTCTTTATTCCTTTCCTGCTTTTTAATATATTTGTTTACATGGAAAGTTCGTGCTTAAACTTAAATGTAACAGGTTCAACTTTGCTTGTCCGTGACAACTGAATGTGTACGCAAAAGTGAGAGTTACGGCTCTTACATTTCTCTGCAAGAAACAACTTCCGCTGATGAGAAATGAACTTTTAAATCTGTCTTGTTTCTGTGGATTCATGTCAGCGCTGATGGAAGCAGTGAAACAAACAGTGTGTACATATTTATACGTGTACTGACCTTGCAGTGGGATACTCAGGACGGTGGTCTGAGTGCCCTGGGTTGCGATCTTCAGGGTGCTGGTCGAGCCAAACGTCAGCCTCTTTGCTGGAGACGGCATCGGGCTTGCGCAGGGGTTCAGGCCTACTGACAGAGCCGGAGGGTCGTCGCCGAAGAGCCGTCGTTTGGCGCTGCCGGCCGCAGGAGAGCTGTACCTGTCGTGGACCGACAGCGGAGAGGGAGGCACATCTGGAGGAGGTGATAGTAAGCAGGTCATAACGGTGATTCACACACAAGGTACAGAAACTCCCTCCAGACACACACCAGACTGAGGTCATCAACATTTCTACATTCAAGAGCTTGAAATTTTGCGGTTTGGCGACTATGTTGCAAGAGCAGTGGCACCAATGTGTGAAATACACAGATGCTGATCTATGGCGCAGGTATAAAAAGACTAAAAAGTAGCCTGATGGTGTGTGTCTACAGGTTCATCAGTTCCACTCATTGTCTACGGAAGCAGCCGTGCAATGCATTCTGGTAGCAGTGAGTTGCGTTTTGATAGACGGGGCGTCACGTTGGCTGCTGCTCATTTGCATAAAGTTAAGCTTTAGTCAACCTTATGCCAATCAGGGGCATCTAAGTGCCGCTTCCCTTCTTTGAAACGCCTGAAAACCTTTTACACCAACCACTGTTGATCTAAAATGAAGACAAATGTGAGGCTTTTTTGTCACTCTAGATGTTGTCAAAACTGTTTTCATAATAAGAGAAAGTTGGTATGTTGGCCTGGTGTGATACCCAACAGCAGACACCGTATGAGGCGAGGTGTTTGTCCAATCAGTGCAGCTGATGCTTGCACAGCTTTAAGGAGGGTGTAGCCTGCATGGGCTTCCTGTTGGAGAACGCTTGTCGATCATTTGTTGTGACAGTGTGTGTTCGTACGGCCATCAGGTGTTCCACTAGAACAACTCCATGTCTGTGGTGTGATCATGTGCTTCTGAAGGGAACTCACCTTTACGTGCGCTGCCCAGGCCTGATCTGAACTCGCGGATACGGGGGTGGATGATGGGAGAGAGGGCCACCAGAGGCAGGTGGGACTGAACTCCGCTGGTGGAACCAGAACCAAAGGAACCAGAACCATTGTCGAGACTGGACGAAAAATTCACCTGCAGGGAGACGGGAGGTGAGATAGGGTCAGTATCCCAGAATAGAGATCCTTAATGCAGTTAGCAAAAGGTCAGTTCCAGGTGGCTAATTTCTGTTTCCTTTTAAATCACACTTGAAAGGTTAATGTAGAAAACTGGTATTATTTAGAACGCTGCAGGAAACTTGTGCTAATTGCTTTGATATACGCTGTTTGTAAGACTTCTTGTTTCCCAGAACCTCAAAGTTAGCACGACATAGAGACCAATTGATATTTCCCACATTAACAGGAAATACAGCAGCGTGAAATAAGCTAGAATGATCTTTTATGTATCTGGACTCTAAAGTAGGTTTGAAAGTTATGTTATTTAAAAAAAAAATAATAAAAAAAACAACAACAAAAAAAAACAACTAAAAAGCTCTGTTTATTAGAACCAGAAACTGTACAAACAGAAAGAACTAACTTTCCTATGGTCCTTGAACTTATCATGTGTGACTTTGTCGGAAAAAAACAATAAAAAATCATAAAAATCTAAGCTTTTATGGTAAAAAAAACTAAAGATATTGTGCTCCTCTGTGCAAATGAGAAGCCAGAAAAAGACATGACATTATCACCTCAGGACTTTTATTATGTTATTGGCCGTTATTACATTTAAAAAGTGCAAATTTATTCAGCTGTTATTAAATTATTGGCTTCTACAAGCCACAAGTAATAGTAAATATCAGTAGTATGTGGAGGCACCATTGTTTCCAGCACTGGCAGCACTTGTGGATTCTCTTTTATGATATACGGAGTTGTAAATTCGTTATTCTGCACAAAAGACATTTTTGATTTCCCTCTACTTCTAGTCATGGTTGTGCTGTTGCTATAAGATTTGCAAAATGCGCCCACAGTGAGTAAAAAAAACACCAGGTAACTATGTGGGGTTCAGGCTTTAATTTGAACTTGCTGCTCTTGTGGCTGTGCTCGAGGAATCAGGGCTGCTGAACAACAAACAACCTGCAGGAGGTCAGGGGACAATTCCAGCAACACATATGAGCAAAGTGGGACTGAAGTAGTATTGAATCTAATTAAATTAATGTTTTTAACTCAAAAAACCATAAATGATAACCTTTATTGCAAAGTGAACATGTTGAAATGTTATTTTACTCCAAATGTGTTTTTTTTTCTGCTCACAGGGAATCTGGACATTTTTGTAAAATCAATTTAATGAGAAATATTTCCTTTGTTTGCTTTCAGCTGTTTATTAAAATGTATTTCACTATTACCATTAACCTCAGCAGTTCAGAACAAACTGGCCCTTCCTTTATTTTAATGGTTGAAAGTGTTGCGCATTGCCCTCAAGTTTTAAAAGCCTAATTCAAGGACAGCTCTTATCCTGCTCTCAACATCTTTAGAGGGGCCTAATTTCCAGCCAGCATTTGGAGCATTTTCTTGTTATGTTTCTGTGTGTGTTTCTGTGAGCTCGTGTCCTGCTCACCTCCTCCACTGTGGGGACTTTGTTCCCGGCAGCCTGTAAGGCGCTCCACAGGGCAGAGTCTGCGGTCCACGCTCTGCTCTCCAGAACCTGCTCCTCAA